TTGGCAGTGAACTTTATACATTCTAAAGGAAAACTCCCATTTTTTCTCATTACTGTTGCATGTCTGAATTTCAAGTATATCTCTTATAATATTGGGTGTGGTTTTATTTGCTTGAGCATTGGGATTTCTAATAGTTTTGGTGGTGATTTGGAATCTAAATAGTAGAGACATCCTATTTCTAAGTTATAGTGGTAAAATCATAAGAAAAGACTTACTGTGTGATACTAGAAAATGAGGTCCCCTTCACCCCCTTCCGACCCCCCCCCCGCGCTGAGGGTTGAAGTCGGCTGAGCCACAGCTAGTTTAGTTGAGAAGCTTGTTTACAGTCTTACGCATGGGGCTTTTATTCTGCTAATGTTACAAATAATAGCTTTGGAATAATAGAAGGATCCTAGAATGTTACTCTGACATCTGTAAGTCATTATTGGAAGCTACATTCCTGGTCTATGGATCTCTCCAACTTTCCCCTCCTCCCCTTCTCCCAGATCTCTGCTGGAACTGCTGGAAAAATAGCAAGCCCCTGTACATTAAAAAAAAAAAATTGATTCTGATATCTCTTATAGTAGCTAAGAGGATAATCCTCAGATGGTGGAAGTCCAGGGTCTCTTCTATCTATCAACAATGGCTTAAATACACAACAACTACAGTAATAATAAGAAATAATAAGAAAAACCTAACTTTTGGGAGAGAGAATTGTCTGGTGAACATGTGTCTAAATGCTAAAGCTCGTAGGCTCTTAAATCTGAAGTGCCCTGATGCAGGCATACTTACTCATGTGCAGATAATGTGTGAATTGTCCCAGTGAGTAGAGCTAACAGGATTGGGACCTCAGCTCAGTAATTCAGTATCCTACAGAACAGCATATATTTTTTTCTTTGGTTACTTTGGCCTGATTCTCATCTTTATTTGACCCTTGATCTTTGGTTAGTACCAGTTTGCTGGTACCAATAGAGCTGAGCTCATTGAAACTGAAATAGTGAGGGGTTCCAACTTGCATCTCTCCAGGTAGATTACCTTATTAGGGCTCAAATCAACGTAACTTGGACAGATGAGCAGGTTCATTAACTCCGAGTGGAACAACTTAATAACTTATTGGTAAACACATCAGTAGTTGGTTGAACTGGGGCTAGATGAAGATGTACATTGTGGATTGAGTTCCATAAAAACTTGGCAAAGGTAGGTAAGATAATACCCTAACTCAGAGTATCAGAATAATCAATGCACTGTTTTGGTACGTGGAACACACGTAACTTTATACTAAAAGTAGTAAAGCATAACTGCTTTGTGAATGGTTTTTTGACATGTAACAGAGAGAAAAGGGAGAGAGGAAGGCAATTATACATTACAATCAAAATGTTTTATGAAATTTCTAAAACTAGTTGACAATTTTTGTAAGATCTCTATTCAGCTCCGTAAGTCAGATAAAAATGGTTTTTGCTGATTTTATTAAATGGAAAGGAAAAATATTTAATCTGATCAATTTAGTACATGCAGATAACATGTGTGGTGCATGAGTGTGAAAGACTTGTAGATATTTTGTATGTGCAGTTGATTGTTTATCTTCTTTTCTTACAGGCTAACATTAAGATGAAAGTGATAACCACATTTCTACATTACATAGTTGGTCAAAATATAATTTAAAAAATACAAACACTTTTGACATGTTCTTACGGGAAAGACTGCTCATTCTTTGGAACACTGTAAATGTTATGAGGACTGTAAGAAAGCAGAAAGAGAGATGAACTGAAAAAAGATTGCTCACATTTATATAGTTAAATTATCAGTGGGCTTGTATAACACTTTCCTTCCTAGTATGTGGTAAGTCCCATGTGCAATATCTGCATTTTGTTGGCAGATGGAAGATGGGGGCAGAGTGAGGCGTTTCTCATTTAAATGGACCTGCTTTCTTTTTTCTATAATAGCCAAGAAAGAAGATATCCTTTTACAGTACTTGGTTCTATGTGTTTTGTTTGTTGCTTAACATCGCCCTGAGTGTATTAATAGTATGGCAGAGCATCGAACTAGTATCGTTTGTGGTGGGTGTGGGAGTGAGGACCTCATAGTCGGGTTTGAGACTATCTACCATGGGAAATCTCTTATGAAATAACTGTTATTTCATGCAGTGTGGTCCATTCCAAACGCTAACCATTTACTCTTCAGATATTTGTCATGAGCCTTGCAGATAAGCTATCTCTGTGGGGACTGACTTAGCTGCATTCAGAAAACTAAGCTCCCCCTAGAGATGGGGAAATCACCACACCTTTCTTGCAGTTTGGTGGTAGAATATTAACGAGGGGAGCGTTAGTCTCTGGAGCATCCCCCACCCTTTAACACATCAGATTCATATGAGCAATATTTACTTGCTAGAAGGGTGACTCAGTTTCAGCTGTTTTCAATTTTTGCTTATAGCACCCTGGAGAAAAATGTATATCTAAGTAACAATTTACATTTTCATTTCTATATTTTATTGTAGTGGAGCTGGTCACAAAACCATAGTAACGCTTGCTTTGCAGATTCACTTTTGACAGCAGTTGATTCTTTGCCGTAATGGAGGTGGTTGAAAGGCTTGCTCTTGTTATGAATTGGTAAACCTGCAATTCTGAATCATTAAGTGCTAGTATTTTGTTAAAAGGAGTTAATCAAGAAGCATTTATATTTATTTATGGAAAGCCAAATATTTACAAAAACAAGTAAAAAGAAATGTTCAGTATATTTTTTTGCTTCAGGACTTGCTTCATATATATGTGTGTGCGTATTACATTCAACAGCATGTGCAATGTGTAAAGACAATTTTACAACTTCTACAGCTGTTCACCACATGTGTGGCTGCATAGGGAAAACAAGTATGAGCTAAGAATGCTCCCCAGCTTATGCCCCTGTGACAGATGTATATGGTTACAGTAAAAATGTACATCTAGGCATAGTTAATAAAATGCTAATAGTTACCAAGGACTAAGTTTGTTTGAGTAGTATAACGAGCCCGTATTTCAAAAACTGGAAGTGGAACAAGAAAATTCGACTGAAATTCCCAACCAAGTATGTTGGTTGGGAATTTTTAGCCCTAGAAATAGAACAAATGCACAAAACCTACATGGGCTTTAGCTTTACTACTTAGGATGGGAATTACTGTCAAACATTAACGACATTTCTTGTAATTAAAAAAGAGAGCAGCCCAGTCATATATGTTTTGTCTGTCTTTTGCTAATTTGGCTTAATGGATACTAACTTAGCCTTTGTGCTGCAGGGATGTTTTCATTTGTTACTATCATACTTGTTTAGATAAAAGAAAATATAGTGTTTAAGAGAAGCCACTCTAGTTTATGAAAAAAGATGTGTTCTCATACCTAAGCTAAATAAGTCTGTTTTATCATGAAGGTATGTGAGGTTTATCACATAACTATTAAGAAATTACTTTTGTGATCTGCTCTGCATTAGAGAGAATTTGTGACCTTTTATGTTTCTAACAGTGCAACTTTGGTCCCAAAGAATTCAGCTGCTTTCTCTTCAGGAATCTGGGGATCGCTATGACTGTTCTGTCACATACAGTGAAATATGCCTGTGAATGAGTATTTTTACCACGAAGAAGTAAAATCGTTTCTGAAATAAATCTAAGTAAGTGACATTATGTCCTCTGGTATACGTGTCTCTTGCACATAAAGGTGTGTAAGGTTCCAGGTGTAATGGAAGTCACCTGTGTTTTGTCTGAGAGGGGGAAAAGCACTGGAGAGAAGGGATTCCACAATCCTTTCATTGACAAATAGTGGAATTCTCCCTCGCAGGCGGCCAGTGCAAAGCCTAAACAACACTTGGACTCAAAATCGTAACAAAGATCTCTGTTGGCAGCAGAGATCTAAGAATGTTTTGCGAATTCGAATTCACTTTGAGTGTGAACGTCTTGGAATAGTATCAGATGCATCTATTTGGCAGGTAGTAACTGTTAGTGCTCTCAGTGCCCTGCAGTGTCTAGCCTCTTAAGTTTCTCTGGCCCATGCGGGCACCTATAGCCCAGTCAGACTGAAATTGTGCTCTGTGAGGCATGTGGGGTTCAGCGTTGCAGGTCAGATCAGGAGTGGGCTTTGGAACTCGATCACCTGCTTGTTCCTACCTGCAGGGCTTTGCTTTGCAGAGTGGAGCAGCCTCAGAGTGCACAAATGGGATTTCTTCTGGATGAAATTAAACTGAAAGATGTGAACCAGAAGCACAGCTAACATACTCCATCACCTAATGGGTGCACAGTCCGTGCTGGTTGGAATTGGTTGGAAATAACCCCGCTAGACTGTGCATAGCACAGGTCCTCAACATATACTGTTTTATTCTATTTTTCCTGTTGTACTGAACTAGTGTTAACTGAGATATACCCACAGTCTGACCATTAACACATCTTGCTCTTTTTTTAAATGATTATGGAGATCTGTTCTTGTATCTCCTATTCCTTCTGGAATTAATTACTGTTTGTTAACAAAGTGATTGGTCTATTGCATGTGAGAAACAGGATGACACAGATGGAGGCCAGCCAATATTCTTTAGTGTGAGGCCTTTCTCACCCTCGTAATGATAGTTTTATGGCTCACTCATTAGGAATAATTTTCCATGTATTTAACTATTCTGTTTCTGTTGCCTAAAACTCTTGATATCTAAATATCGTGCAAAAATGTCTTCTGTTTACCCATAAAACTGCAAGGAGCATTCTGGTTTAAAGATTTTCTGTCTGTCTCTACTTGGATGCATCAGTATATTTTCTATAGTACATAAATATTATCCCTCCAGTTTTAAAAAGCGTACATTGCATTGAAATGATTTTTTTTCAAATTGCAAGTGATAAACATGAATAAGGTATGTGATTGAAAAGAAAATGCAAGCACATAATATTTCCTTCTTAGTAATTTCAGTCTCTTACACTCATATGCAAGTTGAATTCTTTAGGTACATTTTCAGTAGTTCAGAAAAGCACGCATTTTTCAATATGAGCTTTGAAACGTCTTGCAGATCTGTATCTCTGTGGTGGACACCTACCATGCCAGCCTGTAAATACCTCAGAAAACATACTTTGGTGCAGATGAAGCTCCTAGTCCCCAGGATTGCTGGTAAGATCTATACAATTAATCATTAAACAAACAGGAAAACTGAAAGGCCTAAATAGCAGCTCTACTAGTTATGTAAATTCAGGATCCCTGCTAAGAGTGTAACTTGTCTTCTTGATTGTTTTCTTTTTGTCCGTGGTTTTCAACAGCACTGATTGTGGAATTTTGTTGTCTGTCTGAGAAACTTCAGATGGTTCAATAGACGCACAGCTCAGGGTGACTGCGAGCAACCATTTTGTACATAAGGTTCTCTATCCTGCAGTATAACAGGGCCTAGATTTCCTCTGCTTTTAAGCAATTTCCATGTGATAACATTGGGAAGATTAGTGAGGGGGCACTGGCTCTGACGTACTTAGTTTGCTGATGTCCTTCAGCTCATTATCTCCTGCCTATTTGACATTGCCAGATCTGTGGAGCAAATAATTCAAAATTATATAAAATGCTTGTTACTGCTAATTTGTGCATGGCATAGGATGTTGGTGGGTTGCAGGAAGCAGGTGTGTGAATTACCAAGGCTTGTGTTTGTGCCCTTACTGAGGAGAATTAATGAAACTGCAGCTAGAGGAGAATACTTAGGAGTGCTTGTGAAATAGAATTGCACATCTTTGTCTTCAGGTCTGTTCTGTGATCTGTGTTGTTGTCCGGTTTGTTTCAAGATGCTTTCAGCTGCTTTCAACGTATAAATTTGTACGTGTGCTTGTAAGTTTGAAGGCTGTCTTTCTCCGCAAGCCTCATTTTCATATTGTGATCAACAGATGTGCTTGAGGTGGTGCTTATTCTTCTGTGGTTTTTTAGAGGGAAAATTCCTCAGATGGGTTCTCCTCTTGGGAACTCAAACTTTCTCTCCAAGTACAGAACTTCCTCTGCTGTCTGCCTACTCTGGGGTTTTGTTAAGCTTCTAAATGCTCTGGAAAGATCATTCTTTTTTATCATGGTTTGGTAAAGGGGTAGAGAAGAAGGGGGCTGGGTTTTTTTTTTTTTTTCATGTTTTTATCTTGCATGTATGCGCGAAGGAAAAAGGCTTGCTTGCTTTGGGGCTTTAAAGTGTGAATGGGAACACAGAATGCATATTGATAGCAATTCACACGCATCCGCACTAAATAATTGATACTTTACGAATCAGTGCATGACAGTAAAGCCTGACAGCAAGTCTTTCAGCAGCAAATGGTGTGTCAAATCGAAGTATAAGTCCGTGGAATATTTTATGCATGCACTTGCTTTACATCTCCGCTCAGACTCAGTCAAGGACAGTGAAGATTGATAGGTCACATTCCCTGGCACATTTGTTATTGTAGCTCCAAGGATGATGAACTAACACAGAGCTGCAGGAAAAACAAACAAATATCCAACGTAAGATATTAATCAGCAGCAGTCTAAAGCAAAATAAGGAACGAAGCGTATTACAGATCACTTGGAAGTAAAAAATTGAGTCTCAATACCTGTAAAAAAGACTCTAATTCCTATACATATACACAAACACGAATGAATAGGTCACCTGAAACAGCAAACACTGTACAGTACGTGTGTAGGAAAATCTTTTACATAAATTTGTAATTGTAGCTAAATATATACTGAGAGTCACATACAAAAGTAAAAAATGAAACATTGCTAGACTTTTTTTTGGTAGTAGTCCTAGTAGTTTTATTCGCCCAGAAAAATAAAGCTATGTCCTCCAGGAGCAGTTTTAAAACTAAGCACAGAACAACAGTAGAGAATTCCTTCGTTGATCTTTCAGAGCTCAAACAAGAAATAAATTGCAGCTTGTACAATACATTACTTAGTGATCCTCAAATCCAGAAATTTTGTCACAGGCTGGTATTTAAGTTCATACAGCTAATTTGTTTGACTGGGTAACTTTTCATTGCGGGGGAGCAATTTTAAAAACAGTGTATATCCTAAATAAATATTTATTTTATGGTTCCACTTTAAAATGTGATTGCCTGAATCAGGCTCTGAAAATACCATATTATATCATCTTACAAACATCTTCAGTGAAATCTCATGATCTCCCCATCCTCAAGTCCCTCTGCAAAGAGACTGATAACAAAATGGTAGCTTTATTTAATAAAATGATAAGGACTTGCAACTCCCACTTTTTTACTTCAGATGAAATATTTTATAATTTCACTGGGATTTATAGGTACGTTCTGAACATCTAGCTGATTTTATTTATTACAGGACAGAAATATAGCTTAAGTAGTTGTATATCAGGCATTTTTACTGTGCCAGGTGAACTATCCTTTTAAAAGATAATGAATAATTGCTTGGTTTTTTTTTTTTTTTGGCCTCTGCTTCCTCAGTGAGGCTGTCTGTACCTGAATCTCCTTCCATTTCTGGGTCACAACCCAGTGGATCATGTCTTTGCAATCAAATCAGATTGGGAGAGGCAAGAAAAAAAGAGAAACAAATTAACAAAAGATCAAAAGGGGGAAAAGAAAATATCCAAAAACCGCATAACTGATACAATGTGTTAAACTTCAGTGCTAAATTACTTTCAGTCTTGCATTCCTTCCTTTCACTTACCTTTGCCAATTTGTTAACTCTACAGACAGCAGCTTTGTTTGTGATGTTTTTCAGTAAAACACTTCGTACTTGTGGGTATTATATAAGTAAAAAATAATAAAGTAATTAGGCCGTTGCATACATGAAAAGATTTTAGCCTGTGACATTTACATCTTGGCTGCAAAGAGTTCTGTCCATAAAATGCTCTTGGAACCACAAGCATGCAGTATACTTTTTACAGTTCAAAACAGTACAGCAATTTGGGACCCAATCCTGTAGACTACACGTGCAACTTTGCTCATGCATTATTATTATTTAGTCATACATTTTACCCATACATTATGTAATATATGGGTTTGAATCTGAAAGTATGTGTACGTATTATTTACTTAATAATTTTGTTTTATATGACTCCTAATAAGTTCTAGGTGTTTTGTGATCAAATGTAAAGAGAATTGTCCAGAACGGAAGAATTTAAAGTCACTTGTTAACTTCTGTCTATTTGACTAGGTTTTGGATTAGCCTCTAAATAGACAACACGCAATATGAGGAATGGGATACAGCCAGATAGAAGTGATTGAGCAGCAAAGGTATGTTAGTTTCACATTTTTCTTGTTTGACCTTTTGTTGATTTTTCCCTTCTCTCATACAGTCTCTCTCTCTTTCCTCCCTCTTCTGGTCTGTTGTATTTGCACTTGTTAGGTTGAGGGCCTATAAACATCTTATCAGAAAAATGTTCGAAGGAGGGTTAGGAGCGTAGTAGAGTCGGTAAGAGGAGTGCCAGGTATAGGGGAGCCTGTGCAAGAAAGCATACAAGTAAGAATGGGAGGCACAAAGGGGATGGTTAGTCACGCTGAAGCATTTTTTTTGTTTGTCCTGTTTTCATCAGAAATCTTTAAGAATGTGTTATATAAATTGGATATCTAGCATCAGTTTTGTGCTCAAGACCCATGGTAACTCCAGGATTGGATCCTATATCACTTATCTGTGTTTGAAATTGTTCCAGATTTGCTGCTGCACTTGACATTCATTCCCTGTCTTAATCCAAAGTAACTTTCAAGTGCAGACAAGCCGAACAGTTCAACAGTAACGTTTATTTAACTTCAGCAAAAGTTTTAGGTGTTCAAGGAATGCAGGATCATTCAGTAGTAAGGAATGTAGATTTTACCTCACTAGATTGTATTAATGAATTATTTCCTAAGAGGCCTTTAATGGCTTAATTTTATTAATTGAAGCTTCATAGACAAGGTCGTAAGGGTGGAGTCATATAACTGTAATGATGGAGTTACTGCAGCATAGCAGCTTACAGCTAGTCAGCAAGCTATGGTTAGGTTCTTAGCCCCATCTCCCCCTTCCAGTTGCAAAATGTAATACTTCAGTTTAAATCACAAAGTTTATTTTAAATAATGGCATTTTACCTCGGAGGTGCACCTCTGAGAATGGGCTGCCTGGGCAATAACTGCTGTTCAGCTGATGAGCAATAACTATCACTCACACTCATCTGAACATACTCTGTGCGTTTGATCCCAATTCGAAACCAGTCTTACGTCAAGATATGTTTGTGGGATGCCTATTCATCCATTCCTTTTCGGAAAGTTAATGAATAGGCCATTTACTTTTTTTTCTGGACTTTTAAAAGTGCCGATGCTTCTTTAGCATTTCCAGAACGTGGCTGCTGGCCTGTTTTCTAGATCCAGGGTTACAGAGCCTGTGTTGACTTGATCTAGAACAAGATCTTTAAATTTAAAGGTGATAGTTCTCAGAATAGTGTGGTCCTTCCTATCGTTATGATTTTTTTCATGCCATAGTGCCTGGGTGTGGTAAGACAATGTTATTTGAGAATTAGTCCTTACTAGTGTCTGAGAACCATTTCTGTGACGTTGGAAAACTACTGTAAGACATGTAAATATTTTCACACCAAGTTGCTCATTTATGGAAATCTATGCTTTCAAGATTAGAACCTCCTAGTCAATTTGAGAATGAATATTTTGGTGAGCTATTGTGTCCTGTATTTCTTTTGGTGGGTGAAGTACTTTGAAATAGTGGTATAATTAAGCAAGTGATCGTCAGATGACTACATCCTGCAGTGACTATTTAAAGCAGAATTCTACTTGTGGTAGTGGATGCATCATGAGGATACGTTTATTATTAGCAGGAAGTATATTTGATGTGGTACCAACCACAGCGCATAGTCCCTAGCTCCACGTCTAGTCCCAAAGCCCTAGTCTGGTGTCATTACATGAACAAAGAGAACTTTAACAGAAGGCAATGATGACTCTGTGTTCCTAAAACTGCAGAAATTACTCAGCCAATAATGTTTTTAATATAGTTAGGTTTTTGAGAAAAAGCTAACTCTGTCTAATTCTGTGGTTAAATTCCAATGTATTCAAAAATATTAGTTTATGTGAGATTTGATTTTACAAGAAGCTGAACACTGTGGGTTTGGTTCAATAAATAAAGCATTGGTTAACTGTAAATAACACTCTGTGATCTCCAGTAGTTTCTGCTTAAAATTATATACTTGAAGTTATTTGCTGAATTAGTGGCAACGTGCTAAGCATCTTGTACAGCTGAGCTCCTTGATCAGCACTCAGGAACCTGCCTGAGGTCACAGCTGTTAGGCTCGTGTAAATCAGAATAATGTGCGATACGCCTGTACCGTATAACAGAGCATGAGGCGAAGGCCTTTGGGCTAGGGCTAAGCAAGGCTGGTATATCTTCAGAGCTTGTCACTCTAAAGATCCAAACCAATATAATAATGGAATTGCATCCAAGCTGATAAACCCTATCTCTAAAAAAGATTACTTAGTTCTGATTGGATGCTATTTTACTGTGTGGACAGTACTGATTCTGGTTTGGGGAGCAGTTTAGTTGATGCGAACTCAGCTGACTCTTTAGTGCAGATTAGTTTTATGACTGTAATCTGAAGCTCATAATTTAAGATGGCCCTTAGTTTTGTGTGAGTAGTACATGCGTAGTTTTTATTCACAGAAGTATTCCTACTGAGTTTAATGGGCCTACATGTATAAATAAAAGCATTAGTACGCATGACTCAGAATTGATGCCTTCTCAAAAAAAAAAGGAGGGAAAAAAGAAATTCAGACTTCCAAGTTATGCTTATAAAGCAGGTGGTGCATAGTTTTTAAGACAAGGATTGACATTTACTTAAGCTCAGTTCTACAGCACTCTGAAAAGCTCTTGCAAAGGTGAACTGCCACAGCTTTCATGGATCTCATGATATTGCTGCATATGGCCAATGCTTTTTAAGTGAAATAATCCTGCCCTGGACAAGAATTTACTCATTAGGCCAGCTAATACTTAAAAAAATAAGTACAAATGTAAATTATATATATATTTGTGTTCCACATCTGCCAAAAATCAACATTATAGCTAAGATTACAGGGTTTTTTTTTTTTTTGGTTTGAACAGGAAATTAGGTATTTTCTATTTATTCCGCCATGAAATGTTATAAAAAAAAATGCCAAAGCCAACTGTATATGATTATGTTCTCAGATCAAGCAAACCATGCAACTAATTGTACTTCAGCGTGGAAATTTTTCACGCCCTGTCATTAAATTTTGTTTATACCAACTCTCATCTGAGTTACACATTAATTTTTAAATAAAAATGAGCATATCTTGGAAAGTCTTGAACTTTTTCGGATACCAGGGGAAGTGGTGTAAAGCCTCAAACAGTCAAGGATGCTCAGTATCTTAACAGAGTTAGCTCCAAGGACAAGAATCAATTCTTAACTGAAATCAGTGAAAACAGTGAAAATAATGTTGCTTGCATCAGACCTGTGTACAAAGAATCTAATTTTACCAAGATTTGTGCACATCTAACTTCATGCACTTGATCAGTTTTGGTAATTGCTGATTCGAATGAGCTTAATCCATTTAATATAGTCTTTGCAGAATTGGGACCTAAATGAGTATTTAAAATAAAAATTATTACTTTTTCTAAAGTTTCAATCCCATTTTTAATCAGTACTCTGGAATTTCAGCTAGCGGAAATGAAGTAGACACACAATATGCATTGAAATATATACGTAACTTTTAGTGCTGTAGAATATTAATTTTCTTCTTTGTTGAAGGGACTTCCCCCACCTCCACATCCCTCTTGCAAAGATTTTACATCCCACATATAGACAGAGTGTGATAAGAGAGGAATATGTCATGCTCCAACATGCTCAACTTTTCAAACACTAAAAAATAAATCGAAAATTGTGTAACTGGATTTCGGCTGCCAACAAGCAGCCTGAACTTGTCTTTACCTGTTTCTACAGGTTTTATAAGTCTGTTCACTGAAATTTTTAATGTAAACTGAATTCTTATTATTAGCAACCATTGTATTTACTTGCTGAAGGTCCCTTCTATACAGATGATGTCTAAGATTTGAGGCCTAGTCTTTGCAAGGCGCTCAGCACTGCTGCTAAAAACAGGTGCTCAAGCACCTCACAAGACCAGGCATTTACTGATTTATAGCACGTGTAACAGTACCGTATGAGTAAGACTCATCCAAACAGGGAAAAAAAAATTAGGTATAGGTAGTAATAGATTATTTTAGGTTGCAAACCCGCATTTCAAGACACAAGCAAATAAATTGTGTCTGACCTCTCCTAACACTCCTCTTGGGTAGTTGTAAGAACTCAGGACTGAGATTCGGGGACAGACATCCCTGATGGTTAGTTAATGAAGTCATACAGCACCATTAAAAATCAGAACCCCCGTACTAAGAAACCAGATTAAACTAGTAAATTTTGGTTGAAGCATTCTGAAACGCCTCTTTATTTCTCTGTATTTCTGCTTGTTCTCCATGTGTATACAAGAGTATTTGCTTATTTGGGTAATAATAGGATTTGGGCTCAGTTTTGCTCTCCCTGCTGGGAACTTTGCTGTGGAGAGAGGGGAAAATAGGATCTCAAATTTGTTTAAGTTTGCAAAATGCTACCTATTACTATTACTTTTAAAGAATATATAGGGAATAAGAGCAGTACAGCCCTACAAACCTGTCACAGCAGCCTTAAGAGACTGACTGGAAAGCTAGCTCTCCCACCATCCTTGCTCAAGGAGGTAAACACTGCTGAGCTAGGCTGCTGGACGGAGACCAAAAGGCCTCACCCACCATGCAGTTCTCTTAATTTTGAAGTTCACTTCAAAACTCAGTATTCTTGACATTGCTGCAAATGGAGCTTTGACACGCTGAAAAGTACATTGTGTATTGAAGAAAAATTTTCTGCCCTAAAAGTAGCAAAACCAAGTGACTTGGACTGTTCTGTTTAGTGTAGACAAAAGTCAACTGCTCTGAGCTGCCTGAAGCTCATTTTTGAGTATTTTCTGCCGTAGAATCAGCCTTTGAGGGGGTAACAACGTACCTACCAGCTGCGTGCTCTGGGATAACTGTGCTGAGGGGAGCGCCCTGCTCTGGCCCCATCTCACGCTCTCCCGAGCCCCTGCTCCGGGCCACCGCTGGGGCCGGAATGAGGTTACGCGGACCTTCCACGCGCGCAGCTGAGCCTACGCTAGCGCTGCCCTGCTGCCGCGGGC